TGGCCGAAGAGTTGCGTACCTGGCCCGTGAAGGGAAAGCTCTTGACGTTCTACGACCGACCGCCAGCCCACTTTGATCGGCTCTCAATCGACAAGATTCATGACTTTCTGTCCACGAGTACGCTGGGCAAGTCCATCAATGGTCAAATCATGGACGCTGCCACCTTTCTGGGGGACATGAGCCATCCCACATCGACACTTCTCACCTATAAACCAGACCCAGCTCAAGACGCCATGTACCGCCCATCTCGCCCCAAGCTGGTCATTTCTAGTACCTCCTGGACCGAAGATGAAGATTTTGGCGTCTTACTGGATGCGGTCCAGCACTATGAAGACCGGGCCGCCGCTTCTTCAACAGCCTATCCCAACCTCCTCTTTATCATCACTGGCAAAGGACCGCAACGCGACGCCTACGAACAACGAATCTCACGCATGTCACTTATGCATACACGTGTCGTGACGACCTGGTTAGAATCACGCGAATACCCGCTCTTGCTTGGTAGTGCCGATCTCGGTATTTCGTTGCACAAGAGTTCGAGTGGGATGGATTTGCCCATGAAGGTGGTCGACATGTTTGGATGCGGATTGCCGGTGTGTGCCATCCAGTTTGAATGGTGCGTTTGATTGTGATAGTTAATAAGGCGCATGTTGGACTCATTGGTCATCCCTTGTAGCCTGCACGAGTTGGTGACGGACGGTGCGAATGGGCTCATTTTCAACAGCGCATCGCAACTGGCCGATCAATGGGAAGACCTCTTTGTCAAGCATCCGAAAAAGCTAGATCAACTCAGGGAGAACGTCATTTTCGAGTATGCAGACGATAGCTGGGAAAAAAGTTGGAAGTCTACGCTTCCCGATCTGTTTCTAGACTAGGGATACGGTGCATCAAACCACCTATAATCCAAAATGACACCAGTTTACAAGCAAAATTTGGACAATTATTTCTTTTGCTCTTCCTTCTTTTCCTCCTTGGCCTCTATTTGCGAAGGTGGTGTATCATCTCGACCCGGTCCCACTTGTTCCCATGGCGATAGAGCGCCTTCAAAGTTTCGGAAAGCTTGTGTGAGTTCAAGTGGTTCGGCAACAACCCGCTTCTTTTCCTCATCGTATCGTACTTCTACGTATCCTGTGAGAGGGAAGTCTTTGCGAAGGGGATAGCCTTCGAAACCGTAATCGGTCAAGATACGACGCAGATCAGGATGGCCGGTAAAGAAGACACCGTACATGTCGTAAACTTCGCGTTCGAACCAGTTGGCTCCTGAAAAGATCGGTACAGCCGATGGTACGGGCGTAGTCTCTGAAGCATACGTTTTGACGCGAATACGAGCATTGTAACGAATGCTCAACATGTTGTAGACCACTTCGAATCGATGCTCGCGCGAGGGGTAGTCTACGCCGGACAGATCGGCGATTTGTTTGAATTGACATCCAGTGTGATCGCGGAGGAAGGTCAGGACAGGATGAACAGCGCTAGGTGCAATGTAGAGGCACAATTCATCCTTGTAAACTGAGAATTGTTGAATGTATTTCGGAAGGCAAGAGATGAGGAATTTGCCATAGTTGTGCAAAGCGTCGTTACCGCTCTTGAAGCTGCGATCGGCCGATACCTTGTCTACCAAGCATAAGTGCAACGATGTGAGTATAGACGTGCCATCGCCTTACTCGAATGCCTTACCTAGATTCCGCACAGGTGCTGAAATAGAGAATGCGGCCCGTTGTACCCCAAGTGGGACACGTCGAGGGACTAAACAATACCAACCATCAGCAACTACACCCACCTTCAGTGCCTATATCCCTCACCTGCCCTAGACACCAATCGTAAAGCCATAAGAGACAACAAAAACAAGCGCAGACTTTAGAGCATTTGATGACGTCACGAAAATGATGTCTTTGGTGCAAGACAAGCTCGCACTTCTTGAGCATGAACAAGTCAGTCTACAAGGCAACTCGGATTGACGGGAAAGCGCCCAAGAATAAGCATGTACAAGGTGAGTAGAGTCACGTTAGAGGTCATATGCATACTGATGGCCCATAGCACTTATCAGCGAGTGTTACAAGGGAGAACATGCGATAGACGACATTTTGGGCTCTCTGGCTCGACGTACCAGCGAACACTCTTGGGTGGTAAGTTGATATATTCTCAAGATGAATCAGATGAGTTGCTTACGCTGGTTATAGTCGGTGTTCAAGGCGCTCATTGTTGTTCATACGCTTATGCGAGAGGTGCCGAACAATAGCGTCATGGAATGCGTTGCACGTCATCCACGGCTATTGGATGTATCGGGATTCAGAGAAAAGGAACGAGCATTCATGATGGGTAAGTTGAGCGAACCGTTGGCGAAAGTAGGGTCGGAACTTGACGGAGATGTACATTAGGTGCCGATCAAACGAAGAACTTGCAAGACTATGCTGCATACTTGGAAGAGAAGGTGATGGTGTACAAAGATCTCAAGTATGATTTTGTCAAAAAGACAACGTCAAGCGAAACAGGGCGATTGCGGAGATTGACCGTGTCCGATGGTCTTTTGAACAACGTCACTATTCTGCAGAGACAAATTGCGGCCCTCCTCAAGTGCAAGGTATGCGAGGAGTGAGTGGATGGAGCATCTGGCTGACGTAAATTTGCAGTTTTACATCGACCAGGTGGATAACGAGATTACCATGGAAGCTCTGCGACTGCTTGTGCGCGAAATTCTTCGACTATTTCAAGCCGTCAATGAAGGCGTGATTAACATACTAGGTGAGTCTACGCGAGGCATTGTTTCTCGATTGTCCGCTGACACACGTATATGATCAGAGCATTACTTCGAAATGTCAAGAGCTGACGCCAAAAAGTCACTAGAGATCTACAAGACGTTCTCAAAGCAGACCGAAGGCGTAGTCGACTATCTGAACATGGCCAAGAAGTTGCAGGGCTCTTTAATGATTAGCATTCCGAACCTCAAACATGTAGGTTGAGCGCACGAACGACTATTCCATTCGCAGGCATTGACATTGCTCTCATCTTCTAGGCACCGGTTTCCTTATCGACTGCGCTTGAAGAGTACCTGAACAGTTCGAACACCGACTCTGCGCCCAAACCTACACCAGACACCAAAAGCGTCGCTACAAGGACCAATACAAGCGGTACGACGGCTACTAAAGCCAGCAATCCCTGGAACGCCAGTTCCAGCACCACAAAGAATACCTCTGCAGACATCAGCAGCGGTACCACCAAGAAGCCTTTCGATGCGATTGACTTCTTTGCCAGCATCGAGAATGAGCAAACCACGATAGTAGGCAGTCCGTACGACCCGAACACCATGATGCAGTCTCAGTATACTGGCATGCAGGCACCCGGAATGATACCCCAGATGCAAACTGGTGTGGGAGGATACAATCCCTTTACGTCCCAGCAATCGTCCATGTTCGGTCAAAGCACAGGTCAGCCTAACCCAATGCTGCCGCAGTTTACTGGTATGCAGAGCAACCCGTTTCAGACAGGCAACATGAACACTGGACTGCAACCGCAAATGACGGGTATGCAACCGCAACTGCAACCGCAAATGACCGGTTTCACGCCGTCTTTCCAGTCGGCCATGGCCACTGGCAGTTTCAACTACAATCCCACGTCTTCTATTTCCACTTCAAGTGCTGGTCAGAACGTTAACCAAGACAACAGTCCGTTCGGTATGCAATCACGACCACGGTCCAATACCTTACCACACACGCCGAGCTACAACCCATTCAGCATGCTCCAGCCAACGACTCAAACACCTCCTACCATCTCTGGTTCCAATCCCTTCTCTCTCTGGTCACTTCAACAATCCAACGGGGCACAACTGCTCAACCAAACCAACCCAGCTTCCAGTAACCCGCCCCACGCTTACCAGCAACTCGGATCAGATGGTTTACAAAGTCCAGTGTATCCTCCTCCGATGCAATCCTCCATGTCTACTGGAACTTCTTCGAATCCATTCGCGCAGCAAAGACAAGCAAGCTTTGGGTTCTCGAATTGAGATTGCCAGGTTGGACGCGTGTATAGTATTCTATCACTATGATTATACCATAATGTGCACTACGAGGAAGCTGTCAATAAAGGAGAGTGTTTACCTAGTAGAAGAACCAGCTGCTGATGCGTGATCCAACAATCATGTCTAGCTTTCGTAAGCAATTAATTCATATTAACGGCATTGCGCGCTCGACCGAGCAGTGGATTTACGCCTTGCACGCCGGCAATGCGGTGGTTGCTTCTTGCTTCAAAGCTTGCCTTCATTGCCCCCCATAACGGGGACATCTTTACCAGCAACTATTCTCACAACGCTTTATTCACCTATTCACACCGATCCAACCTTCTTGTTTGCCTGAGACAACTGGGCAGTGTATGCCGTCAAGGTACGGGTAATTCGTAAGTTCCAAGTTACTCACGTTGACGCAGAGTTCTGCATGTGCAAAGCTGACTAGCCATAACTTCAATCAGTGGTGGCTTCCCGTCGGTCCTCGCTCGTCTCCGTATTAGTTCCTTCCAAAGGCTGCTCTGCCGCAAAGCGTCTTCCTTGTAGTCGTGGTGTAAAGATGCCGAGTGCAAAACAAGGTTGCAAGAACCTCTGTTCTCGGACAGTATATCGGGAGAAGTAAACTCAAATACAACAATACGCAAGCTAGTGAGCACCCGATTCTGCTGATTTCGCCGGTATACTTACAAGAGCTATGATATTCATACCATTCACAGTAATTCAGAAGCTCGTAGGGAAAGTATTTTTGTTCATTCAGCTGACCGTCTTCGTCCTCGGCAAGCCGTAGCCAATTCTGATAGACGGTCGATTACAAAGCGTTCTCTTTACAACTTGTAAGCATGGAGAAGGTTCTGAAGCGCTCACAAAATTATTTGAAGCATATTATGATGCACACAGTCGCATAAAAGGTGCGAAGAATTGGCCCGCCTGCCTAGCGCCACCGGTGGTCACCTGCCAGATACACAATTCCCTTATATTAGGTGTACAGGAAAAATTTTTTGGTGGTGACACTATGGCCGAGTTGGTCTAAGGCGTCAGATTCGAAATCTGATCTTCTCTGAAGGCGTAGGTTCAAATCCTACTGGTGTCGCTTAAACTTCTTTTGGCTCTCTTCCATGGTGGTGGAAAACCAAAGCTACGAAAATACAATGCCTAGCTTTGATTTTGATTGGCAGAAACTTCCGCATAGCAAAGGCCATGCTGCAGGTGTATTCCTTAGAGTTCTCATATTCATTATCACAAAAGGCATTCTCTCCTTTATATAGACTAAAATCTTGTATGTACATGCAATGTGGCTTTTAAGTTAAGCCAAAAAGCGCGCTACCTAATATCCCCGAGCTCTCCTGATCTCATTATCAAGCTCATCAAGCTTTCGGTCTGTCGTACTTCTCGCCCTTCGAAGACTGTCTTCAAATTCGCCAGTCTTTTGATTGACATATACCTTAGCCTTGCGCAGATTAGCATCAAGACTACCAGAAGCCTTTGCGGTATCGTAGGCTTTGATGGAATTGGCGACGAGCCAAGCCGCCGAGAGTGATGCGAGTGCAACATGGAAGGGTTCAGATGTATCGTAAGCCTTTGGCCCAGCTGTGGCTGCAAGAGCCAATGAAGCTCCAGTGGCTATACGGTATCCGAGTTTTTCTTCTCCGTTACCAATGAGATACCTTCACGGATGTATAAGCCATTGCCTTTAACATGCTCGTGTAACCGCCACTCACCCAGAATATAAGTACGCAAGGCCAATGCCACCGGCAACCAACGCCAGATTCTGATCCCTTAAGCGATTGTAAGCGATATAACTTCCTACACCACCTACACAAATAGCGTTCAGCAACATGGCTCACCGATGACTTCTCTAGCTCACTTACAAGCACCGGCGATGAAAAAGTGAGGATACGGATCCAACTTGTCGGACACAGAGGCGGATTGCATCCATCCACTACGTCCTACGGGATCACTGTTTACACGAAACGAAGACATGCTATGCTGCAATTTAGAAAGAACGAAGCTCAACACTATTCCTTATGTCTGCGCATGAAATGACGTTGAGATCCATTTGCATGGATTTGATTTATGAATTAATTAATTTACAACTGGGGTCGTGTGGGCATGTCACAGCACAACAGGCTTATTGGCTGTCCAGACTTTCATAATCATGTCTGTGGCGGACAGAACACGGGTTCCTCCCATACCGTCATTGACTCTTTCTCGTAAAGAAGAGGTAGGTTTGCTGCTTCCGAGCGTGAGTTTGCTTAACTGCAACTGGGATGGGTGAGTCAAATGTTGCAACATTGATGTATCGTAGCTTACATGATGGGCTGCCAAAGCGGGTAATGGAGGTTCCGAGTCGTCAAACACATGAATGTTGCTGTTGGCAGATATGGAAGGGGGTTCGGCGTTTGGCATTTTGGAAGGAAGATTGTAAAGGATGTGTGCAGAGTTTGGTTGGGCGGGAACGTTTGCGCTTGGCGGTCTAAACACGCCAAGATGAATGAAAGTTTCAGTCGGCATCCTTGAAGCTTACCGGTATACATGCTTTGACTTCTTAGTAGGAGGTCCAATGTTTGTGGACGGGTATAAATTGGCCGTCCCGTCATTACCCAGAGCCACCGTCTTGACTTTGGAGGCCGTCTTGGAATATGCGGATTGCTCGCTCTCTCGCTTCTTCATCCGTCTCAGCTGCTCATTGGAAAAGATGATGTGATCAGAGCAAACACCTGACAATCCAATCGCCATACCTTATCCGTGGCTTCTTGCACATGTTGCTCCAATTCCTCCTGTTTCTCTATCGCAACCTTGTAACGAAGTTCCAGCTCGTCATAAGCCGCTGCTTTTGCTTTCATGTCGCTATGAGACGTCAATGCACCGCCTACGAGGCCGTCTCCACCTACCTTTGTGCCTTTTCCATAGCAGTCGCGAATCCTTCCAACGTACATACAAGTTGAGCCTTCTTTTTCATCTTCCATTTCTTGACTCTTTCATCCGATTTCGCTTTGTTTCCGATAAAGTCAAGGTAGGCTGGCCTAAGCTTACGTGAGTGCGATCGAATTAAGCCATGTACATTGACGTTTACCCGACTTTGCCCTTCAACTTTATATATTTTTCATGAAAGCTACTAAGAGAATCGATCTTCCTCTGAAATGCAGTCTCCTTGTGTTGCCAACCCCTTTGGAGCCCCTCCATAGTCATCTGCCTTGCAACAAGTTGCCGACGAAAATGGCTGCACTCCTCCATAAGAATGTCTATCTGGTGTTGTAATGATTCTCTTTCCTCTATCAGACGGTCTGTCGACCCCTGGTATACCTGATGCATCACAATGTCAGTATTTTCCTTCCACTATCCGACATAATCTCATGGAAACAAAGCACGTACTTTCAAACGTTCTGTCAATTCCTCCACTTTCTTCTCATTCCCTCTATTGCAGGGACATGACTTTGCCAACTCTGCTGTTTCTGGTGTGTTGCATTCTACGGGAACATTGGCCGCTGGCGGTGTCTCAGATTTCTTCTCTGTTGTTGGCGGTTGCGACTGAGATGAACCCGACAAGGTATTGAAATCTAGAAACAGCCGTATCTTTTTAGAATAGTTGGACGGCCCCTTGCATAGTGGACAGATTCGCTGCTTGCCGAACCACTCCTTGATGCTGACTGGCGAGTAAGTTGTACGTATCTAGTATTCCTCTTGGCCCGAGTACTCACCAGTCGTCGTGGTAAACATGACCACAATGTAGTACAACTACGTCCCTTGCAGAATAGTGCTCGAAACATATGGTACAATCAGCTCCCATGGCGAATGACAAAAGCCGAGTCAACTTGCTACCGCGTTCGTCGCTGCACGCCAACATATAATTTCCTTTTTAGGCTTTGGCACCCTTTTGTGTCTTGCGCGTGTCTTTTTCCTATTGTTGCTTGCAATCAAGGCCCTCTATGTTAAATTGGTCTCATGGTTGCTATGGAGGTATGTTGAAAGTGGTAAGGTGTCCAGCTTGGCTCATGGCGACGGGAACTTTGTCAATAAATGTTCGATGGCGAATCAGTGGACATAAAACACATTGAGGCTCGCATCTTCCTCTCGCAATGACTCCTCGTTCTCCATATACACTCTATCTGCCATCCATATCAGCCTTTGATTGTGTCAATGGCCAGCGGTGATGAAGCAGAGGCAAAAGCGCGCCAAGCAATGGGTTGCCATAAAAGGACATTGACTGCCTTCTGACGCTGTTCTTGACAGTCTGAGCATGGCGACAAAACGTTTGCAAAAGGTGAGCAGATATTGACGCTCTTTCGATGGTACGTGGTACGCAATGCTTATACATGGAGTAGGAATTTGCGGAACTTCAAGGCAACCCTCAACCTGGCGTCAGCGTTGGTCTTGTGGACGAAGATTTGTTCCATTGGCAAAGTAAGTGTCGCATTCGGGATCGAGCAGCATCAAATCTTGGTCTTTATTCACGTATGCGAACTTGCCTCTTTTAGGTGTATTAGCGGGACCTGTAAGCTACTGCTGGTCCTATTTGATTGCCACAAGTATGTCTAACAGGGTACTTTAGGAGACGAGTCCATACAAAGGGGGAAAATTCCATCTAGACATCAAGTTTCCAACAGACTATCCATTCAAGCCGCCAGTCGTATGTGTATGAGCGTACAGATGGGGAGGGAAAAGGCTCATATGTGTGCTCACCAGGTCAAATTCCATACCAAAATTTACCATCCAAATATTGATGATGATGGGTCCATATGCGTGAGTCTACTCAAGAATGATGTTTGGAAGCCAGCGACTCGTGTATCACAAGGTATGCGAAACAGTGCTAACGGTGACATTACCTTCGATCTGACCTATCATTAGTGTTGATGTCCATCTCGGTGCTGCTCAATGAGCCTAATCCAGATGATGCCCTGGTGGGATCCATTGCCGAAATGTATACTCAGAATCATGCAAAATTTGTCAAAACCGCCAAAGATTACACAAAAAAGGTGCGGCGTTATCCATTGAGCCAGGCTAACATGCATTCTACAGTACGCCATGTAGACCAGGCTCGTTCTTTGAAGAACCTACATCTTGGGGATTACACGACAGGAGATTGCAAACTTTAGACGTTGACACTTCGGAAAGATTTGGAATAAAGCATGGAACAGATTCTACTCACGCAGCAAAGATATTTATTTCTGAGACTGCGCCATTTGTCTTGCGTACTCGTACATGCAGATTGAGCCGCTCACATGGACATTCAATGACCTTAGTACCCCTAGTTGTGGTATTTCAATGGTTTGGTCTAGCTGAGCTAATAGCTCTACCGGGATTCCTGTTCTTTCTCGCCCTGATGATTCCTAAGCTTTGGGTAGATGCAGCGCAGAGTGAACTTACCTAACAGCAGCAAGCACTTGGACGGGAACCGAACCTTGTGCAAAGACACACTCTGCGATGTTTGCTCTAGACCGCAAAGCATGTAGCCCTCCTTCTTCTTTTGACGCATGAATTCGGCAATATCATTTTTACGGACCTGTTGGATGGGCATCCATCGCTGTCATCACAGACGTTAGTTGACCGTATGTTCAAACCGATGATGACCTCCATACCTCAGCGCTGACACTCAAAGCTGTGAATTTTGGATCCTTGAGGACCTGAATACAGATCAGACATGGCCAGAGCTTATTCGAACAGTTTGCATACCTTCATCGAGTCAATAGTCAGCAAAGACGCGTTAAAAATCTCACACGTGCGACATAGTCCTAAAGGAAATCCTGCATCAGCAAATGCATCGGACGATATTCGCATCTACGAACCGCCGAGATTGGGTATCATCTCCAAAAGACTAGCGCAGACAATTATGTCGGATCGCATGCGTTGCTGGGTCGGTGTAAATTCGTGAGCCAAGCGAATGTCAGCTTCCGCAATGGCTTTCCTGGACAAGAAAGCGATCAGTTGGACGCTACGCTGGGCATTTGCATCCACATACCATGGCGTTATCTTGCGTTGAAAGAAGGCATCTGCAGTTTCCGTTGACTCCTCCTTCTCTTTGGTCACTGCAGCGTCACCCAATGAGATCTCTACCGACTTGATGGCGCTATAACGTCCTTCCTTGCCAAAGAG